AACCCACGAACCGCGAGATCATGACCTAAGCGAAAGTCGGATGCTTAACCGCCTAAGCCACCCAGGCGCCCCGGGAGTATTTTTTTTTTTTTTTAATATGTATTTTAAGAGAGAGTGACAGAGCCTATGAGCAGGGGCAGGGCAGAATAGAGAAGGGAGGGAGAGAGAGAGAGAGAATCCGAATTCCAAGTAGGTTCAGCACGGAGCCTGATGCGGGGCTCAATCTCACAAACTGGGAGATCATGACCTGAGCCAAAATCAAGAGTAGGGCGCTTAGCAGATTGAGCTACATAGGCACTCCCTTGTTTTGTTTTTAAATATTTTTATTTATTTCTAGGAGAGAGAGAGAGACAGCGTTAACAGGGGAGGGTCAGAGAGAGAGAGGGAGACGCAGACTGTGAAACAGGCTCCAGGCTCTGAGCTGGCAGTAAGCACAGAGCCCGATGCGGGGCTCGAACCCACAAACCGCGAGATCATGACCTAAGCGAAAGTCGGACGCTTAACCGACTAAGCCACCCAGGCGCCCCACCCTTGTTTTGTTTTTATAAGACTGAGATGCTCTTTTTCTTGAATATCTGTACTGTCTTTGTAAATTTTGGCACTGTGTTGTGTGTATATGTGTGTATGGTTAGATACTTTATTTACTACAGCTACAGAATTATTTAAGCTCTTATAGTTGAGTCAGCATTAAGTTCTATTTTTCTCAGAACTTGATCTTGTTAACATTTTCAAATTCTCAGGCTATGGATGCCTAACCAAAGAACCCTTAATGCATCAAAGCCTGTAATGTATATCATGTCCTCTGTGAAGTCTTTCTTTCTTTCTTAAGAATGTATAAGAGTGAGGGTAGTGGGATGGAATGGTCTTTAAAAAATTTTTTTTTAATGTTTATTCATTTTTTTGAGAGAGAGAGAGAATGAGAACGAGCAGGGGAGGGGCAGAGAGAGAGGGAGACATAGAATCCAAAGCAGGCTCCAGGCTTTGAGTCGTCAGCACAGAGCCTGATGTGGGGCTTGAACTCAAGAACTAGTGAGGTCATGATCTGAGATGAAGTCAGCCACTTAACTGACTGAGCCCCCCAGGTGCCCCGAGAGGGAGGGAATGTTAAGCAGGCTCAGTCTCACGACCCTGAGCCAAAATCAAGAGTTGGATGCTTAACTGACTGAGCCATTAGGCGGCCCATCCTCTGTGAAGTCGTAATTGCTTTCCTCAAAATTAATCACAGGATTAAAATTATGTAACCAGAGTCCAGGTCTCTGATCGGTTGTTTGGTTTTGTGCAGGTGTTTGAACGGAGTCCCAGTTTACATTTAAGCAATAGTACTTGCCTACTGACTCAGTGGCCACTACTTTTACCCTCTAGCCCTTGTCCTAGATGTGAGAATAGGGTCACTTCACATTGTCTTTGTACCTGACCTTCATTCCCAGTGCTTAGCCAAGGCTTGGGCATACCGTGGGTTCCTAATGAGTGTTGGCTGAATATGCCAAGCTGAGAGTTTCCTATCAGAGGTAAAAGGACGCTTTCCATGGGAAAGGGTACTTGAGAGGCAATAAGCAACGAAGTGCTCACTGCATTCCCTCTCTCCCTTCCAGGCCGTAGAACGAGTCCTGTACCCACACCTGTCCACTTACTGGACAAACCTGCAGGCTGTGCTAGACGATTATTCCGTATCTAATGCCCAGGTTAAAGCAGACGGGCACAAGGTCTACGGAGCCATTCTGGTGAGTGCCTGCCCCTTCTAGCCGCCCTTGGCGTGAGCTCAGCGGCTCACCTGCCCTAACTTTGGAAAACCCGCTGGGCCCACCTTCCTCCTAGTTCTTGCCTCTCCGAGCCCCTCTGCTCTCACAGGTGGCCGTGGAGCGACTGCTGAAGATGAAGGCCCAGGCGGCAGAGCCCGGCAAGAGGGGCCCGAGCGGCAGGGGGTGCCGGCGCTCGGACGACCTGCCCTGGGACAGCCTTCTCCTGCAGGAGTCTCCGTCCGGGGGCAGCGCCGAGCCAGGCTTCGGGTCTGTCCTCCCTCTGCCGCCGGGAGGCGCGGGGCCCGAGGACCCTTCCCCGTCGGTGACCCTGGCGGACATCTACCGGGAGCTGTACGCCTTCTTCGGTGACAGCTTGGCCATCCGCTTCGGTACGGGTCAGCCCGCGCCCACCACTCCGCGGCCGCCCGGGGACAAGAAGGAGCCGGCGGCCGCCCCGGACTCTGTGCGCAAGATGCCACAGCTGACGGCCAACGCCATGGTCAGCCCGCAGGGCGACGAGAGCCCCCGGGGCGGCGGCCCCGCGGCGCCCTCCGCGCCCTCCGCCTCTGAGAGCAGGCCGCTGCCGCGCGTGCACCGGGCGCGGGGGGCGCCCCGGCAGCAGGGCCCCGGCGCCGGCACCCGCGACGTCTTCCAGAAGAGCCGGTTCGCCCCGCGCGGCGCCCCGCACTTCCGCTTCATTATTGCCGGGCGGCAGGCCGGGAGGCGATGCCGCGGGCGCCTCTTCCAGACCGCCTTCCCCGCGCCGTACGGACCCAGCCCGGCCTCCCGCTACGTGCAGAAGCTGCCCATGATCGGCCGCACCGGGCGCCCAGCCCGCCGCTGGGCGCTCTCGGACTACTCGCTCTACCTGCCGCTCTGAAGCGGCCGCGCACGCGCCTTGCCCCAGCCTTTGTAAATAAAGCCCTCTGCCGGAAGTGACGTCTCCGGGCTCGTGTGTTGCGCCGGACGAGGCGGGGCTTGGGCGGTTGGCTCCCGCAGTGGCGCTTCCTAGTAGCGAGGGCGCAATGGCGCTTCCCTGGTCGCAGCGCCTCGAGCTCTTGCTTTTCACAGCGGCCTTCCTGTGCGGGGCCGTGGCGGCCGCGACGCTGACCCGGACCCAGGTGCGGGGCGGGGCCGGCCTTGGGGTCGGGTAGGCGGGGGCGGGCTGGCCGGTCCCGGCGCGGAGAGAGGGGGCCGTCCTGGTCCCGTCGGCGCTGCGCCCCGGAGGCTGTGCGCCAGGGGAGGCCCCTCGGGCGCCCGTGTGAGGCCGACAGGCCCCGCCCGCCCGCGTCGTGCTTCAGAGCCATACCCTCGCCGAAGCGACGGGTTTTCCGGAGTGTCTTCCAGCACCACACGTAGCCCGGCCTCGTGGCTACGGCTGCCTCACCTTACCCTGGTTCTGAAACAGAAGTCCTTCCGGGCCCTGCCTACACCTTTTAAACCAGGCACTTGTGCTGAGCTACGCCAGGACACAAGGCATAGTGTGGCCGAGGTGACTGAGCTTCCACACGATGGCAGCACAGTGAATGAGTGACAAAAATGAGGAGGTAGAAAACGCCCAAAACAGGCTTTTCTTGCTCCCAGCCAGGCAATCATGTTACTAAACAGGCTCAGTTACCCCATAAATAAGTAGGTACGATCGTGCCTTTGGTTTTTTACAGATTAGGAAACCTCGGAGGTAGCTGAAGGTTACACAAGTTCTGGTTTTACTCTAGGCCTTCTGCAGAGGGGAGACCAGAACTTGTGAGGCATCTCTGAAGCTCACTGTCTTTTATAGCCACCGCCTATTTCCTGATCCTTCTGGCCACCGCAGGTTTGACTTCCCCAGCAGGCCCTCTCCATCAGTCTACCGGCCCAGAAACAGGAACTGACAGCGCATGACTAACTTCCCAGGGTGGCCCTCTCCCAGATGATCCCTCACACCTGCCCTGAGCCTGCACTGAGGCTCTAACCTGAAGTCTAGGTAGACTTAGCAGCTTCTCTTCACAGGGCTCCTTCCATGGCCACTGTCCCCTGTATGGTGTGGCCGCCCTGAATGGCTCCTCCCTGGCCTTATCCCAACCCTCGGCCCCATCCCTCTGCTACTTTGTGGCCGGGGTCTCTGGCCTCCTGGCCCTCTACTGCCTCCTGCTTCTGCTCTTCTGGGTCTACAGCAGCTGCATCGAGGACTCCCACAGGTGACTGTCCTACCCCGAGGGCCAGGGGGCTGAGCTGTGGGGGGCGGTGGGGGAGTCTCATTCCGACCACAAGGCTTGTTCTCTCCCTCCTCACAGAGGCCCTACAGGGCTCCGCATCGCACTGGCCATCTCCGCTATAGCCACCTTCTTGATCTTAGTGTCTGCCTGCATCCTTCGATTTGGCACCCGTTCTCTCTGCACATCCATCGTCTCCCTGAACATTACAATTAGGTAATGGGAGAGGGCGGCAAGCCTGGCTGGGGCTGCCTGCCTTCCCTTTCTGCCCCTCTCAGTCGTTCTCATCTCAGAGGGCACCCGGGCACAGGTGTTGTTTGGGGTATATCCTCCCTCCTCTCACCACCGTCTCTTTGACTTCACAGCTGCTCCAAAGCCCAGAAAGTTCTGTGGACACCCCCTGGAACCGCTCTGAAGTTTTACTCCAACCTACACGATGCTGAAGTGAGGTCCTGGGATATGAAAGACTAGGTGGAAACCCAGGGATCCACAGATTCCTAGAAGCATCTATAGTCGTCAGGGTGCCCACCAGTGAGAGGCTGAGAGGGGCTGAAGGGCTCTTCACCCTGGCAGCGAGTGAACGGCGGCATGTGGGTGGGACTGGATTCCAGATGGCCACACTCCTCACACTCTTGTTCCCGTTTCCCGCAGACCTCTTCCTGGGTGAATCTGGGATTGTGGTGTGCAGTCTTGATGCTTCAGGTGGTGCAGTGGAAGTCCGAAGCCATGCCGCATCGGCCTCTGGAGCGGGGGGACCCCGAATGGAGCTCTGAGACAGATACTCTCTTTGGGCCACGCCTTTCCCATTCCTGAAGAGTAACCCCAAAATCCTTCCTGCAAAGACTCCATGCCCACGTGCCTACAATCCTCTTGTCCCCACATGGCCCCGTTTATACTGGAGCCCGTTTTTCCCTCCAGGAGGGAAACATGACGATGGGCTCCCTCCACCCCTCTTCCTACAGCTGTTTTTGTACCAAAATATTATATTACTCTTTTCCTTCATCTTGGTACTGAGCTCTTGGTGTTGAAAGCACTGTAGGCAGGTGGATCGGAGGATGGGACTGAAAGCCAAACAGACATGGAACCAAATGTCAGGGGTACTGTCAGCTGCCCTTGGGACGACTGCTCTTTTATTGGTTGTTAATGAACCCTGGGCCCCCTTGGAGGACCCCCATCCCCGAGGTTCGGTTTTTATTTGCCTCTGGGAGGGGTGAGCCGTCGGCGGCGGTTTCTTCACAAGCTGCGGTAGGCACCCACAGTGTTGTCAAAGAGTTTCATGTTGGGGAAATGTCCAGCTTTGTCCAGGAGGAAGTAGAAGCGGCGGCCTTTGATCTTCAGAGGCAACATGGCCGGGACTTCACCACGGTGGGCCATGCACGACACGTGGCTCAAAGGAACGGTGAAACGGGCACCCAAGCCAAAGGGGGCGTGAGTGGTGAGGGTCACCTGTTTCCCTCCAGCCCGTAGCATCACCGAACGCACAGAACGCAGGGAGAAGAGGAGACCGGCACCAAGCACCAGGGTACCTGCAGGAGGAACACAGTTTGGGGTGAGGGACTTTTGCCGGAGAGCTAGGCAGGAACCTTGCCAGTCCCCCTGAATTAAAAAATTGTGATGGGGGGCACCTGGGTGGCTCAGTCGGTTAAGCGTCCAACTTCAGCTCAGGTCATGAGCTCATGGTTCGTGGGTTCGAGCCCCGTATCAGGCTCTGTGCTGACAACTAGCTCAGAGCCTGGAGCCTGTTTCAGATTCTGTGTCTCCCTCTCTCTCTGACCCTCCCCTGCTCAAGCTCTCTCTCTCTCTCTCTCTCAGAAATAAAAACATTAAAAATATTTTTTAAAAAAATAATTGTGATGGGAACGTTTTTTGAGCTCCTTTTCTACCTCGGTGTTTTATGTTTTGTCATTCCTTCCCAACAACTTGAATGTCCACCACCATTTTTCAAAGACAACGAGACGGGTCCAGAGCCGTGTCACTGATCGAGCTCGCAGAGTGGCTGACCTCACCCTAGGCCTCGGCTCAGGGCCCGCTCGGTTCCAGTATCGCCTGCCTCGGGAGTAGGTGGGGGGGGGGGGTTCGGGAGTTCCTCACTCTCCTCCTTGGAGCAAGGGGTGTCGTGCCCGGCCACCCCACGTCCTCACGGTGGGAAGCCAGCCCACGCCTTACCAATGGCGCCGCAGCCGAGCGCCAAGCCGCAGCGCCAGAGCGTGGAGCGCAGGTCCGAGCGGCCGCTGTGCGGGAACTCGGCGTCCGGAGGCAGCGCCCAGGCCGGGGGTCTGGCCAAGGCTGCCACGGCCAGGGAGGCCCAGAAGACGCCCTGGCCCGCGCAGAACAGCCCGAGGACGGCGAAGAAGCGGCCCCGTTCGTGCTCGAAGAGCAGCACATCCCGTGGCGGGGCCGCGTCGTGCAAGGACCGGCGCCCGGGCAATGGCCGCAGCGCGAGGAGCAGCCGCAGCAGCCACCGCCGTCCAAGCGCCGCCATGTCCCCGGCAGCGCTGCTTCTGGGGTGGGACTTCCGGCCGGCAGGCCCCGCCTCCCCCACCCCCCCTCCTCCGCCAGCGCTCAGCCGTTCGCAGCCAGGGTCCAGCCCCCGGAGGCGGGAAGGGGAGGACAAGGAGGGTGGGCTGCCTGCCCGGCTCCGCCCCCGCGCCCCCCCTCCCCGGCAGGGGCGGGGCAAAAACAATCTAGCACACCGGGACACCACATACAATATCACTCTTTATCTTAAAAAGTAAGGAGGGTCCTGGGGTTAAGTACACAGAGCACCTAAGTCCTTCGGTAGTTTAGTGTCAGTTCTACAAAGTAAGCTTTGGCTTCCTGGCACCAGTGAGGCTCAATCTTCCAGACGTCTTCCAGAAGTCTCCCAGAAGGCAGGTGAGGAGAGGGATCGGCAGCCCTTCCTCTTGGGTCACAGTCACAGGGTGGCCTCGGTCAGGGCCAGAGAGGAGGAAACGACAGCCATGACAAGGAGACATCCATATCCAAGGGCTATTTTACAGGCGGCTTCTTCTGGGGCACGACTAGGGATCACTTCATGAACGCCACTTCTGGGATCTCGCCCTTGGCCTTAGGGAAAAAGAGAAGGTCAGCAGAGCCAGCCCCTTCACCCACCCCCTGCTTGCTTGATCCTCTTGAAGGCCCCGAGATTTTTGCTGGCCTTTTTGCCACTGAATTCCCCCAAACTTACCTTCAGGTGAGTAAAGGCCTGGGCGGATCGGGTGTAGTCCCAGTTGTTGTCCTGGAGACACCTGCGGCGGGGGAAGAACAGGTACCTTCGGTAGAACCAAAATGCTCTCACCCTGCTCACTGGTGCCACTTCCAAACCCACTGTACAGAAACACTTGCCAGTCTGTGCCAACAATTATATACATTCTTGCACCATGTATACAAATGAGAAACTTGTAACAATCCAAATGTCTATCAATGGCCTACTGGATACAAAGGATTACTAAGTAGCTGTCAAGAGGACTAAGGGCATTTATATAGCAATGGGGAGTGCACCCCGCGGTGGCTCAGTGGTTACACTTCTGACTTCAGCTCAGGTCATGATCTCAAGGTGTGTCTGAGGCTTCTATCCGGTCAGGGCCTGGAGCCTGCTTCAGATTCTGTGTCTCCTCTCTGTCCCTCCCCTGCTCGTGCTCCATCTCTTTTGCTCTCTCAAAAATAAACATTAAAAATCCATATAAAAAATATATGTAGTGATAGAGAAAGATTCAAGGGATAAGCAAAAAAGGTAAGTTGCAAAACGGTAAATATAAAGACACTTCATTTGGGCTTTAAATTCTGTGATGCTGATTTATGCACAGGCCAAATTTTTTTATGGACCACATTGATAAGTTCTGATTTTTAAAATTTTACGAGCACTCCTTATTCTCTACCCTCCCTACCTCCGTTTACCCCCACTACCACACGTGTGCAGCACTCACTTCTGGGACCACTCGAGGTTCATGCCAGACTGGGTGGAGAACGCCTGCAGCATCTCCTGCTGCTCTGGGGAGAGGGTGGGCACTGGGCTGGAGGAAGGGGTGGGTGCAGGCATGGCGAAGGCTCTCTGAATCTCATCAGGGCTGGCATTCCGCACAAACAGCTCGTCATTTACGATGCACAGCCTGCGGGACAAAAAGCACTTTAGGCAGCTGGACAAGCAGACCACCTCATCTTCCCAACTTTACTGTACTCGTACTTGACACTCTTACACCCGACAGTCTTTCAATATCCACAAAGTACCCCTCCCCACTCTTGGTCATTACATTTTGTCATTCACGCCCCTTCCCGTACAACCCATGTATGGGGTTCTCTACCAAACACACTCGAATTACACATTCTCCCTCAACTCAGGACGGGGTTCTCATCCCCATTTATCTTCACAACAGGCCAAGGAAGTAAACACAGTAGTTTCCAGACGAGGAAACTTGCCCTTAGCTAGAAGCTGCGAGGCCAGGATGTAAAATCTGTGCGGCTCTGGAGCCGAGCTCACCACCACTGTGAGAGCCTCCTCCTGATTCCCCGCCGGCCTTTCTCAAAGTCTGAAAACAGCCTGAGGACTCGCTCCCCCATCCTCACGTCCCCCAATTCCCATATGCTGGCCGTGGCCTGGGACTGGGACCCCACGGGGTAAGCCAGATATTTACCCTGAATTGCTGGCAGGAACAGCGACAAATGTCCTGGTGAAGGCTCGCAAAGAATCCCGAGATTTTCCATCCACTGTAATGTTAACAACAGCAATGACCCCTTAGAATCAGCCATGCTTTGTGTTTACAGAAAGCCTCTCCGATCATGGTCTGTCTTGATAGAAACCGACCTGAAGTAGACCAGACGGATGACTGCGTGCGTATGGGGGAGCAGAGGTGAAGAGTGTCAGGCCAGGGAGGACGATAATCACCCATCAGCCCCCCTCCCCCCCAGAGTGCTGGTGGGCCGGGTCCTGCTTCAAGCACTTCATTTACTTCCCACAGCACCGCTAGGAGATGGCTGTTACTAACCCCTTTTCACAAATAAAGAATCTGGCTTGTCCCATATCCCGGACAGGAAGACAGGTGGAGAGGGTAGGTAGGCCTCATGAAGACGGCTTGGGAGCAGAAGGGGAGGAGGTCAGGGAAGGAGAGGGAAGGTAGCTGAGAGGCCGAGAGTGCAGGGAAAAGAAAATCTAGCTGCAGGAGGGCCCACTCTGCAAACTCCAGCCCCCACAGCGAGTCTCACCTTCCTTGAAGACCCCATTGACGGAAAAACACAGCAACGTGGTCTAAAAGAGAAGAAGTGTCAGTGACCATGTGGGCCCCCAGCCGGAGCCTGAGTTCCCCGGGCCTCGTAACTGCCCCTTCCTCCCCTAAGTCCCAGATTCCACCAGGGAAGAAACGGGTACTTACCGTCTGGGCGCTTATGTCGACCACGAAGGAGTTGACGTCATGCTGAGTTTTGGGCAACTCATTGAGGAAGGCAACGACGTTGAGACGCGTGTGCTTCAGCAGGCGGAACCGCAGGGCTGTGGGGAGCGGAGAACCCGAGGTCAGGGGCTGCCACACACTCCTGAGCACCATGACCGATTCCTTCCCACCCCCTTTCCCAGGCCTTTAGCTCGCGTCACACGCTTACTGGGGTCTTTGAGCTTCTTCACATTCCTGCTGTCCTTGAAGTACTCGGCCAGGTTGCTTCTAGGGGGATAAGCGGAAAAGGAGGCGGTGGGTCAGAGTAGACGCGTGCCGGCAGGCGCTAGCCCGCATGTGCCGGGAAATGCCGGTCCCGGGCAGGGCCACTCACCGGGCAGGGTTCTGGGGGGTGAAAGGAATGCTGAGGGAGCAGCAGGCCCCGTCATGGTAGGCGTCCAGGAGCCGCTGCCGGTCTCCAGAGTCGTACACCGCGTAGTACCTGCGGGAAACACACGAGGGGAATCTGAGCTCCGCGCTCGAGACCCGCAAAGGGCCGCGGCAGCGGCGGCGAGTGAGCGGGCGCGGGGGCTGGGCCGCCTCTCCCCAGCCTCGGGGGCCTCGGGCAGTACTCACTGCTGCAGGAAGTGCAGGACCAGGTTCTTCAGCGTCTCCGTTCCGAAATAGCTTCCCTGGGAACAAACAGGCATCAGGACCCCGTAACTGGGACTCTCCTCCCCGTAGGAGTTCTAACTCTGCCCCCCTTCTTACCTTGCAGGGTGGCAACGTCGTGGGGGCTTCAACATCAAAGGCAATCGGGGGGGGTAACTCATGGCCATCCTGCAGGAAGGAAGTGGAAGGTGACAGCATAACCAGAGGGAAACAAGGCTGATGGGTAATTAGATGGGAGAACTAAGAGGGAGGGAGGGGTCAGAGGCCAGAGACCCGGAAAGGGTCCCAGTAACTGTGATGGTGCGACATTTGTCTATAGGCATTTCTCTGGGGAGAAAGATTATAGCCTTTGCCAGATCCTCCACGGGCTCTGTGTCTCCAAATTAATGGTGCCACACACACACACACACACACACACACACAATTAAGCAAGACCTTCTGGGTGGGAGAGGCCATGGTCACGAGAAAAAGAACGGAAAAAGCTGTGGACTTACCAGACGTAATAATTTGGGAAATCGTTCGCGAATGGCGCTGTCAAAAACGGGACAGAAGTGAGTGATGCTTCAGAGCTACCGTGCCTCCTGAGCTGCTCTAGGAGCACATATACCGGGGACAGTCCCTCCCGTCCTCACTCCCCGCCAGCCTCTGAGCTCCTGGGAGAGAGGCCCCACTCCCCACCTCACCCGGGGCACCCAGAAACAACTGCCGTGAAGGCCGACCCTCTTCTTTCTGCCTGATCCGAGCGCCACGAGAGCAGCGCTCCCAGCCCGGGCTTTAAGCCAGGACGTCCTTCCCCGCCCTGCCCCCCTTACCTTCCACCTACTCACCTGTGCAGCCCCGGGAGGAGGGAATGGGGTGGGAGCCCAGGGGCTCCGCTGCCTCAACAGGTATCCATCAGTTCTGCCCCGTCTGGCCGTGGCCAAGACCAGAACACACCACAGGGATGGCACAGGATGTTGGGGCAGGGAGATGAGCAAGGCGGGGTTTCGGAAGAGGGGAGGCGAAGAAAGAGGAGAGGAAAGGAAGAAAAAGGAGAAGAAAGGAAAAGAGAAACAAGGAAAGGAAAGGAAAGGAAAGGAAAGGAAAGGAAAGGAAAGGAAAGGAAAGGAAAGGAAAGGAAAGGAAAGGAAAGAGGAATGAAAAAAGAAAAGAAAAGAAAAAAAAAGAGAGAGAAGGCAGGATGGGGCCAGGGCAAGAGAGAGATGGGGGAGACGGAGAGGAGCAGAGAGAGAGAGAAAAGAAAGAGAAAGCAAAGAAAAGGCAAAAGAACTTTCAGGCAAGGAGGCATTTAGAAGAACGAGGAAGGAAACAGGGAAGAAGACACCCAACACGGCCTTTTCCTTCAACTGCCCCTTTCCCTGTGGTCCAAGGTAGAAACAGAAAACAAATCCTTGCTGCAGTGAGACGGCGGTTGCTGTTGGCCAGGTCTCTGTCGGCTACCTGGGTCCCGATCTGAGCTGGGCG